ATATGTATGAGCCATCTAGCTTGTTCTCATGTTTGAATGATGAATCTTTGGCATATACATTCTTGATTCTTATGCATATTCGATAAACTCAAGAGACTGAATAAATTAGATTAATAACTCAACGAGTTGTTTTTATTGATGGGTCGTTGACGTATACACTCAAGTTTATCTAGATTCTCGTAAATATTCGATAAACTCAAAATATCGATTTCGGTTTATAGCTCATCGAGTTGTTTTTAATCATGTGCTCTTGTCGTTATACGTCCAAGTTTATCTAGATTCTCATATAACAACCAGTGGTTCAGGTCCGGGTCACACATTAAAATAATGTGTGCCAAAAGGTAACCGGTGATCCTAGAAGCCAAAAACTTCTTCTATATATGTTCATGATACTTAAGGGAGCAACCTAAAGGAAATAAACTAATGGGATAAGAACGTTGCATGTGAACCCTAATTTAGACAATGTCCAAACATATATGTGTCCTAAGAGCTTATTGTAAGCAAGGCCAATGGCTAGCTCATAAAGAGGAAGTAGCTAGATTTGTACCCTTTGCGGGCTGCTACGATATTGTTCATCGATCCTGTCCTAGCTAGTGCTGCTTATTGAAAAATGGGAAGGTAGTGGGGAGCGACAAAAGGAAAGGAATGTCGAACTCATGACTCCACTCGTTTTTAAAATTTTATGCCTTTTGGGTATCCACTTTACCACTCTATGTTTGTAGTTGTTGGGAAATGATCCAGGTTGAGCAGAGCCTTTGGGAGGTTTCGCTTTCAAAACAGCTTTGATATGTTTCCATTGAACTCTTACTATAGCTCGAACTTGGTCTTGAATCTTGATCGAGTTGGGGGTTTGTCTGAGAGACATGAGTAAGAGGATGTTCAATGACTAGGTGGAAATACACAAAGCGTTTGTCAATCTGGAGATAGTTGCGTCTTGTTTCTCAACAAACCAAAAAAGATGACGATGGACTTCATCATAATAATTTAGAAGAACAAAAAATTCTTTGTGAGAAACTATCGGTGAGACGGTGACGGTGCATACATAAAAAAAAAAAAGATGAGCAAGTTGGAAAACCAATCTAAGTGTGACAAGGATTGCCTCTTAGGGAAATTCGTATCCATTACACACTTTCTTTAAAGATTAGCTATTTAATTATCCCCCGAAAGTTAACTATCTATACCTTCTTCACCCCTACTCTCAAATGTTCATTTTGTTACTCCCAACTTGTTTTGTCGAAGGATCTTTCAAGGTTTCAACGGTTATGTGACTTCTTGCATGCTATATGTTCTGGCTAAAGACTCAAATTCGAACACTAGTCCCCTCCATAATCAACGAAAAAAGTTGAAAGTTAAACCGTGATCATGGTTTATTTTTAGTTGCAAACTCACTTATTTAGTAACCCTAGAACCTAGATAGCTAGGTCCATCCATCCCAAACCTCAACCCAAAACATGGAGAAAGGATTATTGGTGACATTAATGTTCATGAAGGAAGGGAGGAAAAGGAGGGGAGGGTAGGAAAATTTGGAGGGGAGGTTAAGTTTGGAAGGGAGGGAAATTAGAGGGAATTGGAAAGAAAATGTTGTTTAATAGAGGAAAGTGGAAGGGAAAGTGGGAGGGAAAAAGTAGATTGAGAATTGTGATATGTATTATATTTTATTGATGATAGAATAGTTAAATAATTTAATTGTGTGTTTATATTATTTACATTAATTATGTAATGTGGATTAAATTTGTTCTTCTTTGTTAATTTTGTTAACTACAATTATCTTATAATTTAATTATGTGTTTATATTATTTTCAAGATAATCTTTGTCCCATAATTATTCACCATAATTATCTTAAACTCTAACATATAACTTGGAACGTAAAAAAGTTTTACGTCATACTTAAAAGTTGTACGTCATATGTAATAATTTTTGTTAACGGAACATAAATTGTTCATTTAACTCGATTTTATTTTTTCATACAAATTTGATTACCTTTGTAGTATAAGATGACGTCAATTCTATAAAAAAATGTAACACCCAGAAAAATTAATTATATGCGTGTGGGCGGGTACCCATGTGGTGGGTTTACCTAAACCAAACCCAACCCAACTCGGTGAAGAATGTAGCGGGTTTAAACCCAAAACCCGTCAACACGGGTTTTATCAGCATTGACCGGGTTGGATCGGATAAGGTATCCCGTAACAATGATTAAATAATTTAATTATTTCATCATTCCACTAATCAATTCATGTTCATTTGTACGCGTATTAAATTATCTCTTTCTAGTATTTGATTAAACTATTAAATTCTCTTTATCCCTATTAAATTACAACCAATTATTCTATTATCTATTTATTGCCATCCGTTTTTGTCCCCAGATCAACCATTAAAACTGCCCAGTTATCATATTTATTAATTAAATACTAACATTCCTATTAATTGTCCCACCATTGATCAGTTTCCCCCCAAATCGGAGGTGAGGGTGGAACAGTAAAAGTTCCTTTTCATTTTCCTTCCCTTGCCACTGTAGCTTGCTTGGAGAACAGCGGAAAACTTCTAGGGAATCACAATTCCCTCCCTTTCTTTCCTTTTCCTCCCCTTTCTCTCCTATATGAACAGAGTGTAAGGGTTGTTTGGAAGTTGTGATTTTTCAAATTGATGTATTGAGACAATTAGTGTATTATCATTTGATGCATTGAATCAATTGATGTATTAGGTAAATATCTTGTTTGGAGGCCAGTTTAGATTGTGTTTTTGTTCCAAAGGTAAAAATGTTATTATTGAGTGATTGCGAAGAATCTCAACAAAAAGTAGAGATTGTAAATCCTTCAATATTGAGTGATTATAGTGGGGTCTTCAAAAAGTAAATGCATGTATTCTAATTCTATATAAACAAAAAAAAAAAACGATTTAATCTCACAAATACATGAATTAGATCAATACACCATTTGAAATCACAACTTCCAAAACCAACGCTAAATCTTCTCTGCTCATTATGTAGTGAAACAATATATTTTTTTTCTCTCTAGAAAGAACAGCGAGGAAAAGGAAAGCTAGATAGCTAGACAAGAGAGACCCACACAAAATTTTGATATGCCTGTTATGCCATACCCAGATGGACCAACAGAAAGCTCTCTCTCTCTCTCTCTCATTCTTGCTTTGCTAGCTGGTTGCTCCTGCTGCTGAACCACTACCTTAGAGTATATTGGTTGTTGTCGTCTACTGTTGACCCCTCTGCAGACAACAGCAACAGCAGCAGCAGCTGCAGCATTCCATTACCTTCTTATTATACCCACTCTGCCTCTGCCTGCCTTTCAGCCTCATGACCACAAACAACTCCTACAGCTCAACACTTCAAACTTTATTTTTTTTTTCTTTTCATATATGTCATTTTTAATGAAATTCCTTTCTGGGTTTCTCTTAGAACCAGAAAAATCCCCCCTTTTTGGATAAATTTCTATTTCGTTTCTCAGTTCTAACGAGAGGTAAATGACGGTGGTGATAACAGTAGAAATGCAGCACTTTACCCTCTTAAGAAAATAAAGCTCAAAACTTTTTCTTATTTTCTTTCATGGGTAAGAAAAGTTTTTTTCACATTCTTAACTTTGGGGGAAGGAAAAAAAAAAAAAAAAAAGACAGGCAAACCGCGGTGGTGGTGCTTGTTTGGCTTCTTTAAGTAAATTAGAAAAAGTTCATCCATCTTAATGGGATGTGGGATTATCTCATGCTCAGTGTGGAAGCTAGGTATTGACTAAGTAGATAGGGGAAAAAATGAAAAGAAAATCAAAACTCGTGGAGCTAGTTCTTGGGTGAGAATGTTCTTGTAGAATTAATTCTTCAGAAAAAATAAGGCAATTTTACCAATGTTAAATGATCGTCAACTCATTACATAAATTTGAACCCGCTCACGTGTGTACATGTGTAGCATATTGTATAATTAAAATATGAACTATAAATCTCCATAACAAATATCATGAATACTTCATTCTCGATCGGACCATACTATAAAATATTTTGTGCTACTACTGCTATATTATTATCATCATTATCTCTACCAAACTTACATAAAATTATCACTAAAAAAAATGTTCACATCACATTTCATTATAAGTTTTTTTAAATGTAATCTAAATTTATTTGTCAACCCAAATAATGAAATATTTCGTGACTTGTGAACACTTTTTATGTATAATAATCTAAATTCATTCTTCAGCCCAAACAATGAAATAATTAACTACGAACCTGCTGGTTTAATATAATTGGTTTATTTTTGGAGGTTATGATTATTCCAAGTGAAAATTTTAAACAAACAGAAAGTCCTCATATGAACTCAAACTCGAGATCTTAAAAATTACATCTTACCTTAATACCGCTAAACTGAAAACACCTATCGACCTCTCAACATGGTTCTTCCTTCCGTTAGTCTCAAACCGTCATTTTTCTAAGTGTGCATTTGTTGCTGGCCATACCCAGCCAGCCAATTCAGTGATGGTAACGGTGCGGGCGGTTACTTCAATACTCATGTTCTGTTCCACGCTATCACGGATCGAGACGAGTAATAACAGGGCGGATACGGGGTCGGATGCGTCAACTCATTGTTACATGTTATTTGAAATAAAACACGCACAAAGTTTTACTTTTTAAGATAAAACGAAGAGGGAAACACTTTATAAATGAAAAATGGTGATAATAAAATGGGTAATTGAGTCTAACCTAATTGGAAAATTAAGTCTAACTAGTTAATGAAAAGTCAAAATAACAGAAATATGAATAGATACTATAAGAAATTGAGACATTAATGGAACAATAATAGAATAAGGCGGGACAGGACGGATCGAACATAGATATGTATGCCCCACCCCACACTACTACGAGTCAAGTAATACCCTCCATGACAAATAAATTCGAATAATATACCCAATCAGACGGGTTCGAATTGCCATCCCACTGCCAAGTAGCCAACGACCCATTAAACTCCTTCCTTTTTCATTCCCTTTCCCCTTTTCCCGATCCGAGTTAAAAAGAAGGGCAAGGCAAAAGGCTCTCGTCTTTTCCTTCCTTTCTCTTCATCGCCCACATATTTCAGCTCATATACGCTACCTAAAGCCTATCTCCCCAGCAAGAAAACCAAACAGAGAGAGAGAGAGAGAGAAAGAAACCGCTCTGAAAGCAAAAAAAGCTTAGACAGAGATCGATAGAGATCAATTCATTACATGGCGGCAGCTTCCTCCACCACACAGCTGCTGAGCCTCCTAAACCACCACCACCACCAGCAGGCGGCGGCTGTTGGCGGCGGCGGCGGTGGAGGATTTCTCGACCACAACAGTACTAGCGACAACAACAACAACAGTAGCAATAACGATGAGAACAACAACAACAACAACCTAGGTTTCTTCCCTAATTTCCCGCTCCACCAAAACTTTATCTTCTCTCAGCTACTAATGAGCGGCGGCAGCACCAACGACACCAGCTTGTTAGCTTCCTTGCCTCCTTCTCATCACGATCACCACCACCAAACCCTATCTTCTTCTTCTCCCTCCGCCGCCGCCGCCGCCGCCGTCGCGGCTACTAGTTCGCCAACTGAGTTGAAGGCGGTCAATAAGGACGGTCTCATAGATCCCGATCTGCTTTCCTTGCAGAGATCCGGTGCAGCTAATAATAATCTCTGGTAATTGATTGCTTTTTTTTTTACTTAATTATTATTATTGGGTACGTATTATTATGGATTGATTATGGTTTATTATGGGTTTGGGTTTGAATACTCGAGACCCAAATCATCGATCCGATCTCTAGCTAATATAGCGCGCCTTTTTCGGCTCATCATGTAGCTAATAGTTGGCTTAATGATAGCTGGATTAGGGTTGTGCGATTGTGCATCGGATCCGAAATTCGGAATTTTTTTTATTATCATTATATAAATGTTTAAAATTCGAATTTGTAGTGCTAGGATTAATGACAACCCAATTCTTTTGATTATTATTAGCATTCCTCCACCATTTGGATGATCTAATAAGTAATAAGAGTGGATCTGACATGAATGGTTGATCACCCCTCTCTCTTATACGACATGGTCGAAAACCAGTTCATCGCAATAGTTGTGATGAACTGGTTTTCAGTAATATTTTTCCAGCTATATTTGGAAGAGATCTATGTATGTATTTAGATCGACTTATTTTCCCCCCCCCCCCCTAATTCTGAACCTTAGTACTCTTTTATTCGTACTTATTTTTATAAATTTGGATGTTATCTTATACCGTATTTGATCATTCAAGATTAGTGCTTGAAATTTCGTGATTTTAAATTCTAACCGTGCTGATCGATGTTCTTTTACCTCGGGTTAGTCTATGAACTATAAGAAAGACATATGTACCGGAACTATAAATAAAAAATACAAGAACCTAAAGAATACACAGATTTATATGTTTCATTAATATGATATCTAAGAAGTAAACGAGAGCGGTTTCACTAAAAATTTGTGACTTCCGTTCTTCAGATCATAGCAAGACAGACATTCCTAGAACAATTTTAGTCCTAAAAATCTGCAAAACAATGTTTTTTTTTTTTGGGAATCGGGGTCTAGTTATCTAGGTTCATGGCTCCAACTAAAATCATGTCGACATGGCCTCGATATTCGTGTTCTATATGGAATTTGATTTTTTGGATTCCGCTGTTTCTTTTTTTTTTTTTTTTTTGTAGGGGATGGGGAGATTTGGGCGGCGGAGAATGCAGGCTAACAACGCCCGCTGCCGGCGGCAAGAAGACAACCCTCAGCGCTAATTATAGCTATGGCGACAATAATAACAATAGTAACGGCAATATTAACGACGGCGGCCGTCACCGTTTTCCTGGGGTTAATGTTAGCGACGGCAGTAACAGCGTGGTCAGTAACGGCAACAATGTCTCGGCGGCGGCGATGAAGCTGAAGAAGATTAGGGCGGCGGGCGGCGGCGGCGGAGGGTGCAGGAAGAAGGTGAGGGAGCCGAGGTTCTGTTTCAAGACGCTGAGCGAGGTTGACGTGCTCGACGACGGCTATAAGTGGCGGAAGTACGGCCAGAAAGTCGTCAAGAATACCCTCCATCCCAGGTAAAACATATACATCTTATTTTTATTTTATTTTTTGTCGTCATGAGTATATCTTGTTAATTTTGGTGATGATTTGAATTTGATCTAACTTTAGTACGTGATAGGTTCGAGTTCTCGTAATTCTACTTTTATCGTACTGTCTTCTGGTGAATACTAACGTTAGCACATTGCTACTAGGCCAATATCGTGAATGTTACTCGTTTAAATTTAGTGGTAGATCTCTTCTGAAAGAACATTTATGTAACAAAATTTGATCAAAGAGGTAATTAAGCCCGAAAAGTTAGATCTAAAAAAGACTTTTTGGTGGTGGCTCCCTTTCTTTTTTTACTTTGGTTTCATGGGATCCGGGCTTAATTGGTTAGTTAACAGCAAGACAATCATGGCCTACTGATCAATTCTCAATCTGCTTTTTTGCTTTCCTCTGCTCATCCTACTTCAAGTCAACTTAAAATTACAGCTGAAAATCACAAATGAAGTCAATTTTCGAAATGTTAAGATTCTTAGTTGGGAGTGCAAGGGTAATATCAGCAAAAATATTGGCCCGTATGGTGTATAAAATCGTCGTACAAAATCGTCGTACATACACTAAGTTAGAAAAGAAAATGAGTATTTTTTTATGTATGCATCTATTGGGACTCGAACATCCAACGATTAAGTTGTTATAGTACACGCGATATCACTAGACTGAAAACTCAGTTTGTATTAACACCTTTACACATTGTATGAGAATCTGAATCTTTATAGAAAAAATAAAAATCTCTAATTAAATCTAAAGAAGAACAGTATCCTTAAATCTCTTATATTTTTTTGTTGTTGCAAACCTTAATGGAAAGAATTAGTACCCCATGCACATGCTTTTGTTCCTCTCTTTTTGTATCCATCTCTACATTACCTTCTCTCTCTCTCTCTCTCTCTCTCTCTCTCTCTCTCTCTCATGATTAAGATTGCCATGATTGTTGCAAGCTAGGGCCTTTGTAGGGAAGTACTGAGGGAGAGATTTATGGGTACATTGATCTATAATTACTTTGCAATGAAAATGTAAGAGAAGAAATGTGAGGATATGAAATATTTTTTTTTTTTACAACAATAATCATATGCATATGTGAATCATCATTGATATGCTAAAAATGACTTGAGAGGAATGTTGGGGGTGATGGGGTTAAATGGGGTAATTACTAATTAGTAAGATCTAAGATGTAGATGAGAGGCTAAAAAGATGGGTAATTAGGATAAGCTTTTCATCAAGACAAAATTATCATAATGTAAAGGTGAAAAATTAATGTGCTTCACACTTAATTGGATTGGGCATGCATGAGGAGGATTTGTGTTTGCATGATCGGATCTCTTATCCATAATAATAATCATAATAATTAATGTCCCAAAATTGTGTAAATAACTGGATCTAGTTATCTTCTTCCTCACATTTATGAACTTTCAGGTGTAGTAGAAATTAGGAAACATATAGTATAGTAATCCAATGTGAGTCTGATCTATCCTTCACGGGGATGAATGAAACTTTTATGAATTTTTTTCGAGACATTGGCAGTTTAGAATACACTCCAACATTCAAGCATGACGAGTACACTCTTATAGTAATGAAAGAGAGATAGAGAGTAATGTGAAGAGAAAAATCGTGACTATGTAAGGAAGTGGTTAAGTACCATACATGAGCCTGTATAAGATTCAGCATAACCCTCTCCCAATAATTCGAGTTATTGGGAGTTATTGGGACCAACTGGTTTATGACATGGTATCAGAGCTGGTTTGTCCTTGAGGTCACGTGTTCAAGTCCTCACGACCCCCAATATTAACCGTTGTCTTTCAAGCACATGGTATGGCGGGCCTGTGCAAACTTCAAGCCCATGAGTCGGCTTTCGTTTGAGGGGGCGTGTAAGGAAGTGGTTAAGTACCATACATGGGCCTGTATAAGATTCAGCATAACCCTCTCCCAATAACTCGAGTTATTGGGACCAACTGGTTATTTGCTCTCCATCTTGACACCGAGGTTAAGATGAGGGGAGCTCCTCGGAGGGTTGTCCTTGGCTAGAGACCAAGCGAGGAACGAAGGACTTGGGTCCTCAAACTTCTCTGCTCGAGCTTTGTTGCTCGATTCGTGACAGTCATTAGAAGCGTGGTGTCGACATATTTAAGTCTAAATTTATTAGGCGGACTTCTATGGGGTCTTTGGTGGTATTGATAAATTTGGACTCTAAAATATATCATGTGAAACTATGTACGTATAGGCCTCAACTTAACAAGGTTGGCCTATGGTATTAAGGTGTTAAACATTCAACCCACATTAACTTTGAAGCTTAAGATGAATATCACATTATTAAGAAAACAGTTCAAAACATGAAATCCCACTAGACAAAGGAAAATATAATGACATACAAACCAGCTTATAGTGTTGGCCTAATACGACTAATGAAATGATAAACATCTAACGCATTTACTCATATGTACTTGGCAAGAACATTTGATGATACAAAGCCTAATTCTTGCCTGACCCTACAACCCAATTAACCACAGAATTCCTTTTACTGATCATTAAACCGGTACTTAGTTGTGAAAAAGAGTCCATGATCATTAGTTTGGTAGAGTGGATAAACGAGACTTTTGGACTGAATGAAATGAATCCCTTCATTTCAACTAAAAAAAAAAAAAAAAGTAAACAACAACAATTATAAAAAATTTCTCTCCATTTATTGGATTGACCAAAGGGGAAACAAACATTGACATTATGGTTCATTTAATGAAATCCCAATTTTGTCAGGATGATTGAATTGAGTACACTCTGGTGTGGAAATCCTTCATTTTTTTTCCATGCAAATCATTTCAGTTTTGAAATGGGTCTTTAAATTCCATTCATCATCACACAACAAACACTAATAATCATGATTTGCTGCCACTGGCCAACAAGTTAGATATGCAGACTATAATCTGCTTTTGAGGTCCAAATAATTCAACTCTGTATTCTCATGATACAAATTTTAAGTTTCTGGTGGTGTTGATGAATGAATTAATTATATGCTAGTTATCAAAGTTGGTGGTATAATTAATAAGAATGTATGATGGCGCAAGTCAAAAAAATTGACGGTTATTAGGGTTGAAAAAGTCCTGTGCTTCTAGAGATAGTTTAATTATATGCCTAATTACCGCACATGAAGGGAATGTTTGCGTCATATATGGTGCTTATGCTATTGTTATGTCATCTCTAAAAAATATTTTCTTTTTAACATGTTAAAGGGGTTTCGGGGGAGGGGAAGTTCAGTCTAAAATTTCGAATTTGTGATCTTCAAATTGAAAATTTACTATAGTATCACTAGATTAAATCCTCGTATGCATTTTTTCAAAATATCAAATCGTTCCACCTTCGACCTTTGACAAAAACAGAATTCTCAACAAAAACCAAAAATTAGCTATCTAAGCTAAGACAACTTTTCTAATGTGGTGATACTATAGTTACATATATTAGTGCAACATTTTTTGTGGGTGGAATTTTTCCCCGACATTGCCTGTTGCTTGACTAATGAATATTTCTATTGAGTAATTTGAAGTGTAATCATTTTCAAACGACTCATGGTATCAAATGATTCATTCGTCAATGCGAAACAAAAGGGTCATTGCATTTGATACCAAACGACTCATGCAAATAAAGCATGCAAACCCGCCCTTAAAACCTCATATAGTTGATATTAACCCATGTACGACTAGGTTGGGGGCTATTTTGGTCCCCGTTTGTTCCACAACAAACACGAATAAATTTTTTAGGGTTCTAGAGAGTATGAAAATCCCAAAGAAGGGAAAGCAAAAGGGAAGTTGTACCCTAGCCATTTCTTCTTCTTTAGATCACACAAGCTACTAATTTCAGCCATTGAGTGGGTATAGATATAACGTACCATAAAGTTGCGGCCAGAGAGAATACAAATGGAAATGGCGTGCTTGGACTGTCATACTTCAAATAGTATAGTAGGTATCCCCCCTTCATTCAATTCTGGGTTCTCTCTTTGTAATAATTATTAGCCTTGGGAACTAGCTAGGTATCCCAAAGACGACATGTTAGATTCCAAACATATGTTCAACTCATTTCAAATGTAGTAAACAAAAATACTGATTAGACGAAAATGATGATCGTTGATCAGTATAGCCTATGATGATCGTACACAGAATTCGATGCTAGCTCCAAGAGAGGGAGAATGAAATTGAAGAGAGTTCTTGGCGAGGCTATGATTCTAAGTACGAAGGAATTTAGACAATTGGGTTGATTTGAAAAAAAGTATGATTCTCGTAAATGGGTCGATTTCAATAATATACATTGTTTGGACATCGATTCCAATAATTATTAATTTATTCCAAGCCTCATTTTTAGATGAGATTTCAATTTTCAACCCCGATAGGTTTTATAACATTAGTTGAAAAAGAATTAAAAGGAGATATTTTGTAGAATATGTTGATTCTCCAAATCCCCATTTACTGACTAATTACAACTCCCAAATGGGATTTTAGCTTTGCCACGGAATAGAAGCTACCAGACAAGATGTGTAATTGTATATGCATATGAATCATTGGTTTATGTTCAAAGATTCAGTTGGGATTGGACTGGATATTCCAGATAAAACAGAAAAGAAAAGCTGGCTAGATTCTCATTAGATCTGGATAGCTTGTCTTTCAATATGGCCTGTGATATATTCTTCCTTCTCTGGCCCTTTTCTTTTGACAACTCCCTTCCCTCCCTCTCTTTTTAGAGAGAACAAAGGCTATATGTTAACTCGAAAAGGTGAGATTATTTTAGAACTGCATATCCACTCGATTAGTCCTTGCAATGTTCAATAGCAAAAAGGAAAACAAGTATTTCCATCTCCTCTGTGTTTTTTTCTCTTCTATATGTGCATTAGCGCGCGGTACCACTCTTTCATGGTCGAAGGGTTCCCTGATTTCGTTATTTCGTATTTTTAACTAAAACGATCTTATTTTGTGTGAATTACCCGTTTAGGTTTTCTATTTAAAGTTCCATTCGAAACGGTCACTACTGAGAAAATGAGTATTTGTGCTTAGTAAATACACATATAAGGTTATTCATATGTCAGGATTATGCTAGAAATGTCGTATAATGCACTCTCCCTTTCTCTCTTCAGCCTACCAATCCTCGAACCTTAGACCAATGGCTTAATATGAACTTTGAAGTTCATACTAATCCAACTCGATCGTCCAAGGGACTAGTTAATGTACTCTCAATTCAACTATAGAAAATTTCACTTGCAATTTAAAATTTTGGTGATATACCCATCATCTCGGGTAGGCCAGATCAAAAAGCAAAGCATCGAGTTATATGAGAAATGTATTTCGGAGTATCGATAAACCTCATGAGTAATGAATTTGATCGAGATTCGGAACGAAAGGATTATAATTGTACAAATGATATTATAGAATTACTTATTTATAAGATTTTAGTTTAACTACATATATATGCAGGCTATTTCCCTTAAGAGACGTATCACATCTCAGTGACCTTGGTCCCTACTTATCTCTAGAGTATAATCATGTACCACTCTGAAAAAGACAACAATCATACACAATGCTTTTTGGGTTGAAGAGTTATAATCATATATATGTATAGAAAACTCACCCTACCTTGTTCTACATTATTAGGCATTATTACAAATCGTACACTTCTGCCCTACTACTTCTACACATGCCTAGCTAGCAACTACTCATAATTAAGTCCATTTATATTATATATTTTCCATAATTCGAATTCAAAGTTTGATCCATCTCGATCTGTCATGTAACTCTATGTAGATCGTTCTTCGTACGTGTGGTATGATTGATAATACGATTTCGATTTGCGCAGGAGCTACTACCGGTGCACGAAGGATAGCTGCAGGGTGAAGAAGAGAGTGGAGAGACTGTCCGAGGATCCAAGAATGGTGATCACAACGTACGAAGGCAGGCATGCACATTCCCCATCCCACGACCAAGACGAAGACGGCCACTCTCCTTCTCATCTCAGCAACTTCTTCTTCTAATAATAAGAAAATATATAATTAATGACGCTAATAATATTTAAATTTTGATGATATGTATAATTTGCTTCCTTGGTTCTTTTTTACGCTTGATGAATCCTCGATCTATGTATGTATATGATCATCTGTATTAGTTTCGTATTACGTGCTTTGTTTTTTCGCCTTTTGAATTTGCTATATGGTTTCTCGTGAACGATAATACCCGGGCCGGGACTGCTGCTTACTTTTTCAGTCAGGTTTGAGAATGGGCCTGCATGCATGCATGGGCATCCAATGACATCAGGTCCTTTATGGACCAGCTCATTTTCTCTAGTCCGGCCGTTGTTGGCCCAAAGCTTCATCGGGCTTTCCTCTTGGATGCATATAGCAGTCTTCCAAGCACCTAAAAACAACGGTTTAGAAAACCGTACCGGAGGTGATATCGAAAAAGTGAGTGGTAGTGTATTTTGTACTAAACCATAGTTTAACCACGGTTGAACAGTTTCCCTATTGTTAAAATCGTCTATCATTTTGGCTCCGGTATACGATATTTTTGGTCCGACTAGCCGGTACAGTAGTGTTTCTAAACCTTGCTAAAAACTAGTTCATTCTTAGTGTGTTGACCAGGTATCCCAATAATGTGTCGACTCGACCCTAAAAACTATTACATTCTTAGTATGCTGACTCGATATCCCAAGAGATATCGTTAAGCAATGCAATTAAATGTGCTATTCTACGTGGAAACTTAAAATCATAAACTTTTAAGTTTTCAAGCGTAGGTTTTGACTATACTCGTAAGTAAAAAGCGTGATTCTATTTAGAACATTTTGGTGATATAGAAACGTAAAAGGATAAGTATTTAAGTTTTAAAGTACAATTTAGACTGTATGGCCGTAAAAGGTACAAGTAAAAAGCCTCGTTGCACAATGAGTAACCCGATTTGAATCAAAATAAAAAAAAATTAAATGATAATCCAACATAAGCTCCAACTGATCCTTAATTTCGCCAACATTGCTCCCCACAAGCATCCCACTCGATCTATATCAAGTATCAACACATACATTGGAGAGCGGATTTGGTGACTACTTGACTAAGCCCCTCCCAACCCTTAGATCTGGAAACACTAATCTGACGGTTAAAAAGTGGGAAGGGCTTTTTAATTAATGACAGGGGTAGTTTGGGTATTATGAGAAATTACGAAGTATACAAACCGGACTTATAAACAGTACGAACCATACAAACATACGAAGAATACAAACTAGAGCGACAAAACATACAAACAATACGAAACAAATGATCTATACAAAACATACTAACAATACAAACTAGACTGACAAACATTACAAAACATACTAACAGTACAAAATGCCACTACTTACAATACAAAACAATAAACTTGTATACAAATCACAAACACAAAGTATACAAACTAGAGAAACAAATAGGCAAAATACACTTGTGTAGCCAAAACTTTGACGGTTTGGCCAAATATAGCCACGTTTAACGAAATACCAAAAATAGCCACTTCCGTCCAATTGTTTAACGGTGTTAGTTAACGTGCTGACTGGACTAACAGCAATGTAAGACGTGGAATATTTTATTCAAAAATAATACTAGGTGGAAAATAATCAAAATGTTATCCTTTATTTTAATCAAATTAAATAAAATAAAAAAACCACTTCTCGTAAGCAATCACCACCACCGCTTAATTTCCTTCTTCATCTTTTTAATAATTAATTAAATAAGAAAATATAAAAAAACTAAGAACTAAAAAAGAGAACTCTTCGTAATTTCCTCCTTCATCTTCTCCGATCACATTCCCACTTTCTGCCACCTAATATTTCGAGGGAAAAAATCCCAGTATCTCCCATCGATCGATGAACCAATCAATCGACGAACCTTAATCATAAAAAAGAGATACAATTGATTGTATCTGATTGTTAGTGAAATTCCCCCGCTCACTTTTCAGATCTCTTCGCCGCTTTCTTCTCCGAAGATCCGGTCGCCGTCACGGTGGAGGAAAATCGCTTGCATGCAGCGGCTATATCTCCAGGTGATTATTATGGTGAAAAGTAGATGGAAGAGGCCAAGAGGGGGTTTCTAGCTTGTTGATCTGGGTTTGACGAGAGAGGTGGGTTTGACTCGTCTTCATCTCCATCTCTTCGTCTCCGATGGCTGAGCTTCAGGGGCGGCGATTTCAATTTAAAACCCCAAATCAGATGAAAGCCTCCTCCATTAGCTCTCTCTTTCCCAGTGCAGATCTCCGATTATGGGTTTTGGTCAAGGACAAGATGAAGCGAACAGGATGGCGCCGGCTGTGAAGAGAAATGATTCCCGAATCGGAGGTTTTCGGCTGCTAAACCCACTGGTCAATGATTCCCGAGACAGATCTATTGATTTGGGGACAGCTCCATTGAGTTTCAGTGGTGAGGAAGAATAGAGCATATCTACTAATTTGGGAGATTGGGTAGCAGATCGAGAACGCTAGGGTTAGGGGGGAAATCTCTACTTTTGGATATTGGGTGTTGGATGCTTGCTTTTCTTTTTGCTGGGTTGTTGCATATGACTGCCGGGGAGCTGCAAAAGACGCCGACGATGGTGTGAGAGGAGAGATAATGGGAAAGTAATTTTTGATTTATTTATTTATTTTTAAAATTAAAATATGACATGACATCTATGTGGCGAGTTGTTGATGATGTGTCCTGTGAGTTGGCAACCACATAGGCGTTATGTTAATTTGACTAACAGTGCCAATGACACCGTCAAACTATATGACGGAAATTGCTATTATTGTCATCAAACTTTCAAATTTTTGGCTATTTTTGGTATTTCTCCAAAAGTGGCTATTATTGTCACAAATGTCAAAGTTTTGGCTACACAGATGAATTTTGCCAAACAAATATTACAAATTACAATGTATACAAATTAGTCTATAAACATTACAGATAAAATTGACAAACTAGAATGATAAACGATACAAACCGAATTGATACAAAATCACAAAACATACTTACAAATATTACAAAATCATTCGACAAACATAACAAAACGCTGTCGTCGGGAAATACTCTCCGTCATCAATTGAAAAACTCTCTCTATATATATTCCCCATTCCCGGGCCCCTCTCTCTAGAGAAATTGAATGGTATATTTCCCATGTAAGATTGTGAAAAGAGAAGAGAAGAAGACGCTTGATTTATAGTGGTTCTTCCTCACGTTAGTGAGGCTTACGTCCACTGTAGAAGTTTTGCTCTTTATTATTTCATGGTTTGGCCTCTGGCCATACATTGATTTATATACCCTGTTACAGCAAAGTCTCCTAGGGCATACATGGAGTTACAGCTACGTAGAGGAGAAGGAATATGCTGATTCCCTTATGATACAACCGTGTCCTCTACATGGACTGCATGGGCCGAAGATTGCTTGGGCTGAAGTGAGGGCTGGCCCAATACTCCCCCGCAAGGTGACACGTGAAGATCTCAGACGTTCAGCTTGGAGAGTAAGAAATGGAAGCGATAAGCACCAAGCCCCTTTGTAAATATATCCGCCAATTGCAGGTCACCAAGTACCTTGACTGGTCGGATATCACCTGATTATGCCCTCTTGCGGACAAAGTAGCAATCCATTTCCACATGTTTGGTGCGTTCATGGAAAACGGGATTGTTGGCGATGTGCAGTGCAACTTGGTTGTCACAGTGAAGTGGTGTGGGAGCTGTCTGCGGAACACCAAGCTCTTGGAGTAACCAACGAAGCCAGATCAGCTCACTAACCGTGCTGGCCATCGCACGATATTCAGCTTCAGCGGAGGAACGTGCCACAACCCGCTGTTTCTTTGTCCGCCAGGAAATGGGTGCTCCACCAAGACTGATGAAGTAGCCAGTGGTCGAGCAACGTGTGAGTTCACAACCACCCCAATCTGCATCACAGTAAGGAGTAAGACGTAAAGGGTTATCTTTGGGAAAGAACAAACCCTGACCTGGGGAAGATTCGAGGTAGCGCAAAATCCGAAATACAGCATCAAGATGTTGTTGAGTAGGTGCATGGACAAACTGACTCAACAGATTGACGGCGTAGGTGATGTCAGGTCGTGTAATCGTCAGGTAAAGAAGACGACCCACTAGACGACGATAAACTATAGGATCAGGGAGTGGATCACTCTCCACTCGTGTCAAGTGATGATTCTGTTCAATGGGAAATGCACTGGGGCGAGCTCCTTGGACACCAGCATCCTCAAGAATGTCAAGAACGTACTTTCGTTGACTAAGAACCACCCCCGTAGCAATGCGCGCTAGCTCTATCCCCAAGAAGTATCAAAGCTGACCAAGATCCTTGATGCTAAAGCGATCATCGAGGAACTTCTTTACCCGTTGTATGAAATCCAGATCATTGCCCGCTAAGATGACATCATCGACATAGATCAATGCAGTGACAAAGGTATCACCACGGTTATAGATGAACAGTGAGGAATCAGCAGGGGAAGCATGAAAACCAAACTCACAAAGTGCTGAAGTGAATTTCTGTTACCAATTACGTGACGCCTGGCGAAGTCCATAAATTGACTTGTGGAGGCGGCACACTCGTGTATCACCTGGTTTGCGAAATCCTTTTGGAACTTCCATATAAACTTCCTCATCGAGGTCACCGTGAAGGAAAACATTGTTGACGTCCAGTTGATGAAGGTGCCAACCACGACTGACGGCAACAACAATGAGACAACGAACTGTGACTAGCTTGGCAACAGGTGCAAACGTGTCATGGAAGTCTTGACCTTCAATCTGTGTGTACCCCTTCACTACAAGACGTGCTTTGTAGGGCTCAATGGTTCCGTCGGGAAAATACTTGATTTTGAAAACCCACTTGCAGTCTATAGTACGTTTTCCAGGAGGGAGGAAGACAAGACTCCATGTACCGTTCTTCTCAAGGGCAGCAACTTCGTGTGTCATGGCCTCGCGTCAACAAGCTTCACAGACTGCTTGATAGAAGAACCGAGGCTCATCCAAGCGAGTTTGAGCTGCAAGAAATGAAAGGTAAGTCCCTTTGAATCCAGAATAATCAACGTATGCAGCAAGTGGATAGCAAGTCATATTAGAGGTACTTCCCCGTGCCTCCTCATCAGTGAATGAGGTGATGTAATTTTCCAGGTGTTTGGGCCGACTACAAATACGATCACTCTTTCGTACAGGAGCTGGTGCAGGCGAAGTGGCTGGGCTGGTCGGGTATGTGGACCAAGAGTTGCTGCTGGTGAGGTCTGGCCCAAGCGGGACTGCACACCAGGTGATGTCGCGGAAGT